GTCGGCCCAACGCCAGGTAACCGAGGCGCGGGTAACTGGATGGGCTCGTGGGGACAAGCGGCGCGCTCATGGGATGGCGGCGCAAGCGTCGCAAAAGACTGACAACGCACAGCCGCCACAGTTTGTGGCGGGAGCGCGAACAAGAACGGGGAACAGCACCTACACGTACGAATCGGAAGGGCGAGTCAGACCACATACCCATGCATTGTGTAGATGTGTTCCAACATAGCTTTGGGACGAAGAAGTCAATCGGCGCGCGCCCATGCCAGCGGCGCCCGCCGTGATCTCGCCGTGCATTGCACTGCAATGCAATCAACGGGGACATTCCAGAACAACTTCAGTTGAAGAGTGGAGCGCGGCCGTCGCCCCGTTATACCTCGCATGCGTACGCTGGCGCATAACATGCCAGAGGGCGCATGCAGTTCGCAAGTGACCCAGACACCAGAACTCACCTGAATAGTTTTATGTTCGGCTTGTCCTGCGGTTGCAGGGCTGTCACGGTGGGATGTTCGAAGGTCCACGCGGATCGTTTCGGTCGGCGCAGGACCCCCTGCTCTTTTGGCGCGCGAAGCGCGCAAGGGCGTCGCCGTGGGCGCCTCCAGGATGAAGATCTGGGAGCCGTAATCCATCTCAGCTTGTTGCCGACACATAGATGTGCATGTATATGTATACATATGTGTGCATGATACTTGTAAACGTATGTCCATATACATGCGCATAGGCATATATCTATGTATGCAAACATATGCTTAAGCATAGACGCATCGCTGTTCATGATAACATATATGCAGGCACATGAACATACATAACACCTCGAGGGTCCGCCGTGCAAAGAAAACGCTCGCCAGTTCACCATCACGGACAAGGTCGATTCCGCAGACGGGGAGCGCCTCCTCGCGGGGGACAAGATCCTCAACCTCTACTCCCGGGTGCACGACAAGAGAAGGCTGGCTAGTTGCGAGGCGTGGACCCCGCGCAACGGCGATTTTTGTTGGCGGCGGGGAGGAAGGGAACTTGAAGGGAATGGAGGAGGACGACGACGAGGACGACGAGGGTGACGGCTGCATTCGCATCGAAACGGGTCAGAGAGCACCCCGAGAGATCTCCGAGGAGCGGCGGCATAAGCTCCTGTCTGCCCCCCAGTGGAGGAGGTGCGGAAGGAAGAAGGAAGTCGGAGCGTGAATTACCTACCCCGCTTTCGCTTCCAGGCAAAACCAAGTCATACCACGCGCCTCCTCGTCAAGCGGCCTGACCAGCGCAGTCCGTAGGTTGGCGTCGCTCGGTATCTCTTGGAAGCGAGGGTGGTCAAACGCGAGGTAGGCTTGTTTGCGCCCTAGGAAGAGGAGGGAGCATGAAGTGAGGAGAGGAAAGAAGCGCAGACGGAAGAGGAGGCGTGACATCGATCTTCGGATGGCACTGTCACCAGATCTAGGTCGAGAGGGTGCAGGCTCAAAGGCCTACATCGTGATGCTTTGCAGCACCACCTTGAAACGTGATGGCGGGGGACGGACATGAAGGAGGCGTAGGAGGAGAGAAAGGAGGCAGAGGGAGGATAATGAGGGTGAGAAGGAAGAGCAGGACGCATCCTGGTTGATCCATCGGGGCCTCCCTGAGGCCAGGTATCTTGTGTGGGACCCTGGTTGAGTTTGCCCAGCACTTGATCACCCTCGATCCTCCTTCTCTGCTCGAGCCTCCTCATCCTCTTCCTCTTCTCCCCACTCTCGTCCTCCTCCTCCTCCTCCTCCTCCTCCTCCTCCTCCTCCTCCTCCTCCTCCATGTCTTCTTTCCATCCATCTCGTCGCCGCCGCAGGTGGAGATCATTGTCCTTCTCTTTCTCGTTTTGGCTTTGGTCGCCTGCGCTCGTCCTGTTTCTCTTGGTGAGTGTCCCTCTCCATTCATCTCGTTCATCCTCCTCCTCCATCCCCCTCCTACTCCCTCTTTTCGATCCGCCTCCCCTCTCCTCCTTCCCTCCACCGCACGGCCGCCCTTCCTATCACATCCCCCCTGTCCGCCCGCCCACCCTCATTCATTTCCCCTCCCTCCCTCCCTCCTCTCCTCTCCCTCCCCATCCCCTCCCCCCCTTCCCCCCTCTAGCTCCCCCTCCCCCCCTCCCCTACTTCCCCCCCCCTGTCCGACGCAGCTCTCTAGGCGGTGCTCGCCTTGCGCGGCCTCGGCCGGCTTTTGGCACGGGGACCGGGGGATCGCAGAGGGAGGGGATCTCAAGGTGGGGTCGGGGAGCGAATCGCATTTCCTTCTTGCAGGAGCCTGTCAGAGCGATGTTCCTCGATCCCTCAAATCTGCCCTTACCCCATGTCTACGTCCTCCTAGAAAGAAAGGGAGTCGATTGTTCCCGCCCCCACCTTCAGCATCATCCATTACCGACCTCAGCACCGTTCTCATCTTCCATCATCTGCATCATGGCTATCGCCATCACCACGCAGATACACGCTGAGAGTACGAGCTTGGTTGCCACCAGAACCAGAGCGTTGGCAGTTCCGGATCATCGTCGTCGTCGTCGGCGTCGTCGTCGCGTCGTGGTCGTCATCACGATCACCATCACCATCACCATCATAAGCATCATATTGGTCATCAACGTCGTCGTGTTCATCATCAACATCATCATCAGCATCATCATCAACATCACCATCACCATCACAAACATCATCATCAGCATCATCAGCAGGAACACTATCATCATCACCATCATCACCATCATCATCATCATCACCACCAACATCACCATTACCACCATCGTCATCATCAGCATCATCATCATCAGCAGCATCATCATCCGTAGCCATTTTTGGCTCAGGCCATTTTGTCTCAAGTTTCTGGCCAGCGATCCGATCGAGACTTGAGCCAGTCCCTGCCCCTTGCATGGGACACGCCTCCCAGGCTTCAGCGACAATGTTTCCGATTCGCAGCGCAGCCGTCTGTCTCGCCGCGGTCGGCGCATGGAACTTGCTCTCGCAGGCGTTCGTCGCGCCCCGGCCGAGCATGTCGCCTCGTACTGACCACATTGCCATGCGCGCAGCGTCGAATACGGCCGGAGGCGGATTTGCTCGTGGCCCGTTGGTGGTGTACATGAACGCGCTCATAGATGCGGCCTCCAGTGCGGGCGAGAGTGTGACCGTCACAAAGGACGTGATGAGGTACAAGAAGGTAAGGGAGACGATGACCGGCGACATGCAGTTCGAGCTGACGACGGCGCTCAACAAGGCTGGCGCATCTGAGCTCGATCAGGCCTCGGCCGTCGTCGAAATTATGGGTCCCTGGGAGTCCACCGTGTTCCCCAAGTTCGTCACGTTCCTCGCCAAGAAGAGGCGCTTCAAGTCGCTGAGGGCGGTCTGCGAGGAGTACGTGTCCTTCCTCTACGCGCGCGAGTCCATCGAGCCCGTCACCGTGTTCTCGGCGGCGAGGCTCACGGACGAGCAGGTCGACAAGATCAAGGCGAAGATGGCGGCTAAGCTCGGGGTCCGCGACATCAAGCTCATCCAGCAGGTTGACCCCAGCCTCCTCAGCGGCTTCAAGATCGAGTGGCGCTACACGGACCCAGAGAACCCGCTGATCGGCGCCGAGTCGATCGATTTATCCCTCCAGTCCGCGCTGGCGAAGGCCGCCATCAGCAGCGGGCGCTGAGAGGCGGGCGGCGCCACGAAGGGATGGCCTCCGGCAGCGCTCCGTGGCGGGCGCGAGACCGCGCCCGCGCTCTTTTTTATCAACTCCGGAGCATGTCTGCTGGGAAACAGGCAAAGCCAAATCATCATCAGCATCAGCATCAGCATCATCAGCATCATCATCATCATCATCATCATCATCATCATCATCATCATCCTCATCATGGCCATCGTCACCAGCATCAGCATCAGCATCATCAGCATCGTCATCATCAGCATCAGCATCAGCATCGTCATCGTCATCATCATGGCCATCGTCATCAGCATCAGCATCAGCATCATCAGCATCGTCATCATCAGCATCAGCATCAGCATCGTCATCGTCATCATCATCATCATCATCATCAGCAGCAGCAGCAGCATCAGCATCAGCATCAGCATCAGCGTCATCATCATCTCCACCAGCAGCAGCAGCATCAGCATCAGCATCTTCATCTCCATCTTCATATCTTCATCTCCATCTCCATTTCTCCTTGGGCCAAAGTCATCTACTGAAAACGCAGCCCCTGAAATGCCCCAGTCAAGCCCAGAATTGCCCGCCGAGACTGAGGTTTGTCATCATCGGCACTGGCATCGCCGCTGGTTCCGGCTCCTACTCCTACCACCCCCTCTCGGCCCTCCATCTCTCGAAGAAGAGCCTGAACCATAAGCGTACACTCACGGACGCCCTCTCGCGGATATTTTTGGACGGTTTTGGACCCCCCCCCCCCATCCTTGGCTGGCGCGAGGTGCCCATGGCCGAGGGGTTGCTAACCGTCGATTCAGGAAACCCTTGCGGACCTCTGACGGTTTCTGCTGATGTTGTTTCTGTTCCTCTGTTTCTGTCTATGGCGAGCGAGGGGGGGAAGTGAGAAGGAGAAGGCCTTTGCAGAAGGCGGCGGGACTTCTCAGAAACCCTCGCGCCTTCTGAGATGTTTTCTAAGCCTTCCCCGGTGACAAATGACTTCTCAGAATGCGCGAGGGTTTCTGAGAAGTCCCGCCGCCTGCTGAGAAGGCCTTCTCCTTCTCATGTTCCCCCCTCGCTCGCCGCCGAATTCCTCTGGCTTTCCTGGGCGCTCGGGCGTACCTGGCGGCGCCTGCGGCGCCGCCGCTGACGCACCACGCGCACCAGGGAGGGGCGTCCAGCGAAGAGCCAAGGAATCCGCGCGAACCGTCGAACCGTGGTTTCTCTTTATGACTTTCCTGTATTCCTCCTGCCGCTGCTTACCTTTTTCTTGCCCGCATCTGCAGACACGTGTGCGTGCATTCTGTATTCATCGGGCGCGCCTGCCGCCTGGATCTCGGGATCTCGCTGGCAACACAACAAAAGCCAGCCCGCTCCAGCAGCAGCACTACCCGCCCTGGGGCCTGGACCGCATCGACAAGTTTTCGTCCGTCATGTGCTTATGACGCGGCGTTTGGAAGATGCGTCCCAGTGACTTGGCCACTGCACTCACCGAGCGCGTGCCACTTCTCACTAAGTGCCTACTCGCAAACTTTCGAAGCAACACGTGTTTGCCAACATTTCATGGATCGAAATCTCCGCGGCGGATCCAGGCCATTTGCGAGGACTTACTTTGCGAGTAGTGGAACTCGCCTGTCTGCGCACAGTCAGAACTGGTGGCAGGCGTTCAGGACAAGCTTTTCAAGCAAAGCGACTTTGCATCATTCTGTTCTGGGCATCGTTGGTTTGTTTGGCTTCCTCGGTCCAGCGGTGCCTTGGCATGCTGCCGCGCCAAAGGGCCGCGCACCCTTACGGTCCACATTCCATCCGGAGCTAACAGCCTTGGGGGCCCTCGTGGGGCCGAACAAACCATGCGCCAGCCCTTCCCCAGGTGGCAAGAGGCAAGCCCGCCAAATTTTCGATTCGGAGTCCGGGCCCTTTGAAGACTCCTCGGGAGTGAGGACTGAGACTTGGAGCATGGGGCCCCAGACCCGAGGACAGATCTGTCCTCAGGTCTGGTCACGAGGCGCGATCCACGGCACAATCCTCAACCCTCTCCCCAACCCTCTCCCCAATCCTCTGTACAGAGGCACGGTCGCGGACTCTCTCAGACGGAGCGCGGGGGGCCCCGCCCACCCCCCGTCAGCGGCAGCAGGCGGCATGCTTGCAGCTCTCTCGTTGCGGCGCCTGGCCTGCGCTGCTGCGCTGCTGCGGCCGCGAGGCCAGTGTGTGTCCAGGCCTCCCACACGGGGTGAGAGTGCAGTGGAGACCCATGCCACGAAACAATGCCACGAAACACCCAGCTCGTCTCCAGGGCGGTGATCGTCTTCTTACTCATTGTTTTGCCGATCGGCGCGGGCCCTCGCACTCCCCCCCCTCCCCCGCCCCCCTGGAGTATATCTTGGCTGTTTTGGGCGCCTGCTTCGAGCAGGTGAAGTCCTCCACCATAGGACGCACGGCGCAAGCAGTCGCACTAAGCAGAGGTCCAGAGCCAGACCCCCCCCCCTCCTCCCCTTCCGCCCAAGGTCGAAACGCTGAATGAGAAAACGCTCACGTGCCATGGGTTTCTTGGGCTTCCATGGTTTTGCGCTGGGAAGCGCGACGTTCCCACACCAACAGTCCATGTTCGTCCTGGGGTCTCAGGACTGGGCTTCCTGCGGGAGGTCTCTTGTGGACTGGCCTCCGCTGCAGGTGGTCGGAGGATCGCGCGGCGCGCTCTGGAGCCCGATGTTCTCCACGCCAGCGTTGAATCGGGCCTGTCCCTCTACAGGAGGAATATTCACCACTCAGAGCTTGCCCCTGTAGGGGTCCTAGCGGATTCACATGGTTAGGTTAAGTTCGCCGCCGATTTTCGCCGCACGCCCGGGTGCCCGGGTGCCCGAGGGTGCCCGGGGGTGAAGTTGGCCGCCGATTTTCGCTGCACGCCCGAGTGCCTTGGGGGTGCCCAGGGGTGCCCGGGTGCCTGGGTGCCCGAGTGCCCGGGCGTGCCCTGGGGTGCCCGGGGGTGCCCTATAGCCCAATAGCCCTATAGCCCTATAGCCCTACAACTTTACAGCCATATAGCTCTATAGCCATATAGCTCAACAGCCCTATAGCCCTATAGCCCCCTTAGCCCTAGAGCCCTGATTGTTTTTTTTCTCCGGTATCATTTCAAAGATAGTCAAACTATAGTCTGGGGGCGATCGTTCGACTTTGTTTGACCAATGTTTGAGCATGTTTGATGATTGTGAAAGCCTGACGGCCGGTGCCGCCGACCCTGAAAGACATCGACGACGACCAGGAGGGGGAGGAGGAGGAGAAGCAGGAGGAGGAGGAGGCGGAGATTAGGAGATTAGGAGGAGGGAGAGGAGGAGGAGGAGAAGGAGGAGGAGGAGGAGAAGGAGGAGGAGGAGGAGGAGGAGGAAAAGGAGGAGGAAAAGGACTCCCCCCTGGCCCCCCCCCCCCCCTGGGGAGGAGGACCGGAGGAGGTCGGCGTGGAAGAGGGGAGGGGAGGGGGAGGAGGACCCCCAGGGACGGATGCGTATCTGACTTTCCTCCCTCCCCTGGGAGTCCTCCCCACCTGGGGAGGAGGACCCGAGGAGGACCGGCGCGCTGGAGAAGGACCAGTGCGGGAGAGGAGGAAACCCAGAGGCGATGCGAATCTGAGCCCCCCCCCTTGAACCTCCCCCCACCCCCGCTGGGCCTAAGCGCACACCTCAGGCAGCAGGCTGGCAGGCTGGTTAGCGCATCCTGGTGGTCTTCATGTGGCCCCGTCCTGATACACCAGCAGCGGAGCAGGGAGCGTGCGCGTTTTCTGGCAATGCATTGTCGTCCCTGACTTCCTCCCTCCGCCCTGCATTTGGGCTGTGCTTGGCGGTCGGAACAAAAATACTCCCGTTGGCTCTCGGGGTGAGACTTTTCAGCCGAGTTCGGCCGTCCGACCTGCCTCTGTTATTTTCGCATGCGTGGCTTGCTCTCTATATTCTTGACGTTTCGTGTATCCACCTCAGCTCATCCACAAACGATACCCAGGAGAGTTGCCTCTCAGAGTCTCCTCAGATGTCTCTTGGAAGCTTCTTGGAGGCCTCTTGCAGCGTCTTGGGGGCCTCTGGGACCGCTCTGACCGCTCGCGTGGCGCCCCGTTCAGGTCCAGGGGAGGGGGGAGGGGGAGGGGTCAAGCTACCCACCCACCCGAAAGCCGTCTAGCTCAATCCTGCCTGCCCTCCCATCACATACGTTGCACCCGAGCCTGAGCATGTTCAGCGGTCGTCTTTGGATGGGCAGGTACTGGGAACCAAAGCCAGCCCCAGGTGCGCGACGCTTGGACGAGGTGCGCCACGCGTGCCAGGGGCGCCACGCGCGCCAGGCACCCCTGGGGCCCTCGCGTGCCAGGCGCGCCTGGTGCGCCAGATGCGCCACGTGTTCCGAGTGCGCTGGGTGTGCCGCGCGCTCCAGCCGCGCCAGGTGCGCCACGTTCGGGGCACGTGCAGAGTTCGTCACGTGCGCCTGCGCACGGGACAGCACACATCGGGAAACATGTCGGCCCCCGCCGTCCTTGTCGAAGACCCATGCCCATTATTGTGTCTGGTGGGCCTTCGCACAGCAGGCCACGCGCCACCACCACCGCCGTCCCTGTCAAAAACCACTTGACAGTGGTCGCGTGATGGCCGCGCATGATCCAGATCTACCTGCGAGGTGCATGTTGTATTCGTTTTTTTGTCAGGGATGGTAGCTCTGCGCACAGCAGGGAATAAGCTGACACTCCCGCCGTCCTTGTCAAAAACAATACAAAATGCCCGCGGGCCAAACGAACGTGACTCAAGACTTTGCCCCAAAGCGTATTTCCCCACATGCTTCGTGGGGTTCTGGTTTTCTTCCCTGCCGCGCCGCACCCGCGTCTCCTCACACCTCCCCTCCTCTTTCTTCTTCCCCTCACTCACACACACACACACACTTCACTCTTCCCCCCTCGTCACAGCACTGCTCAACTCAACTCAGCTCAGCACAGCTCAGCTCAGCACAGCACAGCTCGGCTCAGCTCAGCACAGCTCAGCACAGCCCAGCACGGCTCAGCTCAGCACAGCACAGCACAGCTCGTGGCACTTTCTCGACACCACAGGGGGTGCGCAGGGGTTGGTCTCTCAGCTCGGCCGCTATCCACGACACTGGCGCAAAGCCTAGCAGGCGTGGCACTCTCTCGACACCAAAGGGGGTGCGCAGGGGGTGGTCTCTCAGCTCGGCCGCTATCCACGACACTGGCGCAAAGCCTAGCAGGCGTGGCACTTTCTCGACACCACAGGGGGTGCGCAGGGGGTGGTCTCTCAGCTCGGCCGCTATCCACGACACTGGCGCAAAGCCTAGCAGGCGTGGCACTTTCTCGACACCACAGGGGGTGCGCAGGGGGTGGTCTCTCAGCTCGGCCGCTATCCACGACACTGGCGCAAAGCCTAGCAGGCGTGGCACTTTCTCGACACCAAAGGGGGTGGGCAGGGGGTGGTCTCTCAGCTCGGCCGCTATCCACGACACTGGCGCAAAGCCTAGCAGGCGTGGCACTTTCTCGACACCACAGGGGGTGGGCAGGGGGTGGTCTCTCAGCTCGGCCGCTATCCACGACACTGGCGCAAAGGCTAGCAGGCGTGGCACTTTCTCGACACCACAGGGGGTGCGCAGGGGGTGGTCTCTCAGCTCGGCCGCTATCCACGACACTGGCGCAAAGCCTAGCAAGCGTGGCACTTTCTCGACACCACAGGGGGTGCGCAGGGGGTGGTCTCTCAGCTCGGTCGCTATCCACGACACTGTCGCAAAGCCTAGCAGGCGTGGCACTTTCTCGACACCACAGGGGGTGCGCAGGGGGTGGTCTCTCAGCTCGGCCGCTATCCACGACACTGGCGCAAAGCCTAGCAGGCGTGGCACTTTCTCGACACCACAGGGGGTGGGCAGGGGGTGGTCTCTCAGCTCGGCCGCTATCCACGACACTGGCGCAAAGCCTAGCAGGCGTGGCACTTTCTCGACACCACAGGGGGTGCCTAGCAGGCGTGGCACTTTCTCGACACCACAGGGGGTGCGCAGGGGGTGGTCTCTCAGCTCGGTCGCTATCCACGACACTGTCGCAAAGCCTAGTAGGCGTGGCACTTTTTCGACACCAAAGGGGGTGATCTCTCAGGTCGGCCGCCATCCACGACGGTCGTCCAGGCACAGCAGGCGTGGCACTGTCTCGACACCACAGGGGGTGCGCAGGGGGTGGTCTCTCACCGCGTCCGCTATGCACGACGGTCGTCCAGGCACAGCAGGCGTGGCACATTCTCGACACCACAGGGGGTGCGCAGGGGGTGGTCTCTCACCGCGGCCGCTATGCGCGACGGTCGTCCAGGCACAGCAGGCGTGGCACTTTCTCGACACCACAGGGGGTGCGCAGGGGGTGGTCTCTCACCGCGGCCGCTATGCACGACGGTCGTCCAGGCATAGCAGGCGTGGCACTTTCTCGACACCACAGGGGGTGCGCACGGGGTGGTGGTCCCTGAGCGCGGCCGCTATCCGTGACGGTCGTCCTGGGCACAGCAGGCGTTGCGTTTTCTCGACACCACAAGGGGTGAGCACGGGGTGGTCCCTGAGCGCGGCCACTATCCGTGACGGTCGTCCTTACGGTATCGGCGGGGCAACGGCCACCAACATCATTCTCACATGCTTCACTTCAGATATCACCACCCCAGCCATAATATAAGTATGTGGGGTTCCTCGGTAGCGTAATTTGCATTGTTTTTTGACAGGGATGGTGGGGGGGGGCGCATCGGGTTGGCCGCGCATGCTTCAAATATGGAGGCAGAGTGCGGTCTATATTGATTTTGACAGGGGTGGTGGGGGGCGAGCCCGCGTGGAGACGACATGGTTCCGGGTTGGCCGCCAGCCGGGTGGGAGAGGGGGTGTACATGAATGAAGAACAGTGATGGAGCCCTCCCTGGAGGGGAAGAAGGGGGTTGGAAGAGGAGGCTCCCCAGACCACCTACGCCCGGAGGGCTTGTGGGACTTTGTCTCGCGCCCTACTTCCCCTGCGCGGCTCATTTCGGCCCGTCCCCAACCCGGGATGGCCAGGTCGTCGACGGAGCGCAGGTGGCAACGCCATTGCGCGGCAGGGTCTCCGCAGCCCGAGAGGCAGCAGCATTGAGTCGGGCATGCCCCTCTGCAGGGGGAATCTCCAAGATATCGAAAAAGTGTATTGTCGATTTGTTAGTGTTTTTGTTTATGCTCGATTAATTCGGGACTACTTTTTCTATCTTCGATCCCAGATCCGCCGGTAGGAGGACATGCCCGATCTAACAGTAGCACTTGAGTGCATCTCCATGTCGGCGGAGGCAGCAAAGCGACTGCGTGTGAGCGTGTTCGCGTGTGCAGGTGTTTGTACGTTTGCGCTCGAATGATTGTGCGCAAGGCTTGTGTACGCTTGCGCTCGAGCGATTGTACGCTTGCGCTCGAACGATTGTGCGCGGGCGTGTATGTGCGTGCGTGCGTGCGCGTGTGTGTGTGCCGGTGCCTAAACTTGTGCCGGTATGTGTGCCCTTGTTGGTGTTTGTTGCGTCGTTGTGTTTGCACGGCTATAACATTGTTCGCCGCGGTCTGCTCCGAGCTTGGGCTTGCTGTCCACCCCGGCAGCGAGCGGCCGCCCTGACCCTCCCTTGGCCCACCCTGTCCACCCTGGCAGTGGGGTTCGCTGGCTTTGGCCACAGCTTTGGCTGGGCAACGGCGCGCCAGTATTTACGCCGGTCTGTGCACTTCCTCCGTCCACCTGCCCGAGCACTGGGCTGCGGCCTCTGCCTCAGCCCTGAGCTGCCGCAGCCTCGGGGACCCCCAGCCGCAGCAGCCCAGCGCGCCGCATGCAACCTGCTGCCGCCGGCGCGGCACTGGTGCAGCCGCTCCGCCTGCGGGGCTTCCCGCGGGCGGGGCGCTCCTCCTCCCTGGTCTCCCTCCCCCCCTCTTGCCCGCTCTCCCTCCCTCCGCGCGCCGCCAGAGCGCCTGGGCTGCTGCCTCCTGCAGCCGCCACGCGTTCGGGATCCTGGGCCTGGTCTCTCCGCCTGTTCCCCCACGCTGACCCAGCATTTTGCTGGATGCGGTCCAACCTGGATGCACCTTTACTTGCCGCGCCTTGTCCTGTGCCCCCGCCTGGGCGGCGCGCGGCCCACCGTCCTTGCACCTAGTGCTCTGCGTCGGCGACTCGCTGTCTCGTCTACTTGCACTGCCCGTATGGGCCACGCATCCACGGGTGCACCGGCGCAGCGGCCCGGCTGCTGCTACAGTCCCCGCCGGCTGGGCTGGCCGCGCCAGTTCACGCAGGGACTCGACCCGTCCGCCCCTGAGTTGCCTTCGCCCCTCCCCCCTCCGTGGCCGCCTGTCCTGTCCGCTTTGTTTTCCCGCTCTTTGCGCGATGGCCACAGCGGCGCCCCCGTTCAGCTCATCATTCCGCTAGCCCCGCCTGCGAAATAAAACGTGTGCGTGGGCGCGCGCGCGCGTCCAGGAGTTTCGCCCAACCGCGCCACTTCATAGGTAAGTGAAGGATTTTGTAGGTATGTTGCCTTTGTGTGCGTGGGTGTGAGAGAGTGCGTGTGTGCGATTGAATGTGCGCGTGTGTGGTGGTGCTGCGCGGTCGCAGTGGGCTCAAGTGGAGGAACCGGCATCCCCCCTCTGCGTGATTTGGCCTGGCCCGCGCGCTGCCCCTCTTGCCCCTCCGCCGCATTCCTTTTCTGTCATTGCAGCGCTTCGGTCTCCTGGCACGGATCACCCGTTGAGACTGGCGTATCTCCGAGCGAACGCCAGCCGAGGAAAAAACGTGTGAGTGTGCGTTGAGCGCGTGTGCGCCTTGTCCGTGATATGTGAGCACGTCCGTTTGTCCGTCCCTACTTATGTCTGAGTGTGTGCGTTTGGTGTGTGCGTGCCCAGTTGCTCCCACTTTTGCACGCTGGCCAATTCGCCCGTCGGTGCCGCCGTTAGTAGCTCTCTCGCTGGTGCAGCCAGCTCTGCCCCGCCGCCGACCAAGCAAGTGTGTGTATGTGCGTGAGCGAGAGAGTGTGTGTGAGTGTGTTTGTGTGTGTGCGTGTGCGTGTGCGTGTGCGTGTGAGGCGTGTGTGTGTGTGTGCGTGTGTGTGTGCGTGTGTGTGTGTGCGTGTTTGCATGTGTGCGTGTGTGCGTGTGTGTGTGTGTCTGTGTGTCTGTGTGTCTGTGTGTCAGTGTGTCTGTGTTTCTGTGTGTCCGTGTCTTTGTGTCTGTGTGTGTCTGTGCGTCTTTGTGTGTGTGTATGTGTGTGTGTGTCTGTGTGTGTCTCTGTGTGTCGTTGTGTGTCGCTGTGTGTCTCTGTGTGTCTCTGTGTGTCTGTGTGTGTCTGTGTCTGTGTCAGTGTCGGTGTCTGTGTTGTGTGCGCGCGCGCGTGAGTGGGTGCGCGCGCGTGCGCGCGTGCGCGCGTGCGCGCGTGCGCGCGTGCGCGCGTGCGCGCGTGCGTGCGTGCGTGCGTGCGTGCGTACGTGCGTGGGTGTGGGTGTGGGTGTGGGTGTGGGTGTGTGGTGTGTGGGTGTGTGGGTGTGTGGGGGTGTGGGGGTGTGTGGGGGTGTGTGGGTGTGTGTGTGTGTGTGTGGGTGTGTGTGTGTGGGTGTGTGTGTGTGTGTTTGTGTGCGCGCGCGTGCGTGCGTGCGTGCGTGCGTGCGTGCGTGCGTGCGTGTGTGCGTGTGTGCGTGTGTGAGTGTGTGCGTGTGTGCGTGTGTGCGTGTGTGTGTGTGTGTGTGTGTGTGTCTGTGTATGCGGGTTCGTGTTGTACGCCGTGTCAGAGTGGTGGTGCGTCCGCGCGCGCACGGGCGTGCTTTATTTGCTAGCGTATGCCCGCCACGGTCCCGTTGTGATGCGGGTGGTTCATGGGCCTCGATCGGGAGTAAACGTGCCCAGCTTTTTGCAGACTGTTGGCGCAGGGGACCTCGGTCGAATGCCTTCCTCGCTCCTCTCCCCCTCGGTCTTCCTCCTCGTTCGTCTCCTCTCCTCCTCCTCATCCTCCTTTTTCTCCTCCTCCTCCTCTTTCTCCTCCTCCTCCTCCTCCTTCTCCTCCCCCTCGCGCCAGGATGTTATCCGGGAGGACCTTCTGCAGTCAACCCGCACAGGAAGGATCAGCGACTTTTCTAGGTTACCCCTGCATCTTTCCCCTTCGGCCCATCATGGGCCGCTTTCGCTCGCCGCGCCCCGTTCGACAAAGGTCGACATGGCCCCCCAGGGCCCTTGCATCCTTACCTTCCATCCTTAATATACGGTATGATTGTAGCCGATTCATGTATACAGAGACACCTGGCCGGCCGGTTGCAATGTAGTCCGCCAAGGTCGATTACAAGTATGGTTGCCACGCGGACAGCCTCGGTCATGGCAAGGGGGTGAGCGTCTACGTCATCGACACGGGCATCAGGTTTGCGCATTTGCTTGGCATACGTTCATTTTCGTCCATGGCGAGTCGAACCACGTTGCCCCTGCTGACCCCCATAGTCGTACTGGTTGGCACGTGTTTTCCCACAGATGTGACGTGACACGTTGTCCCCCCCGCACCTCCCCTTCCCCGCCCCCCACCCCCCATGGCAGGGAAGGGATAAAGTCAGAGCGTGAATTACCTACCCCGCTTTCGCTTCCAGGCAAAACCAATCCATACCACGCGCCTCCTCGTCAAGCGGCCTGACCAGTACAGGCTGCAGTTTGGCATCGTTTGGTATCTCTTGGAAGCGAGGGTGGTCAAAAGCGAGGTAGGTTTGTTTTCCCCCTGTAAAGGGGAGGGGCTTCCAATCCGACTTCGCTACGACGGTCCCTGTCCTCGTTCCTCCTTTCCTCTGGGACGCGACAGCGTCTCTCCCAGACCGGAGCGGAGGGTCGGCGGGTTTTTTTACCCCAACACCTGTCACGAAAACGTGTCTGTGATATTGATCCACATCCATCATGGGCTCCTAGTTCCCCACATCCTGCAGGGGGGTGATTCCCCATTTCCAAAGTGGGTCGCATGATTTCTCTGCACACACCCCGCGCAGTCCTCACACACCTCACCTCACACCCCCTCCCCTCCTCACCAAGATCTCACACTCGCCCCCCCCCCCCCCCGGGAGACTGAAGGGGCACGTCGATGACGATGGCGGCGGCGGCGGCGACGAAGAAGACTCTGACGTGGGCCCGAATCCTCAGGGATTGTTTCTTGGGGTCTCTGGGGAAGGCCCTCGGGGGCCTCTGTGCATTCTGGCCTCTCCTGGCAGCCTCTTGGGGGCCTCCCGGGGGCCTTTCCGGATGTCCTGGGGGCCTCATTCGGGTGGGCCCTTTTTCGGGAGCGGAAAAGAGGGGGGTGATGACTAGGGGGGGTGGATTTCATGGCGCGGGCCATGATTTTTCCTCAGATTTCATGGCGCCTCTTCGTATTCTATTACGTCCCAGGCCCCCCCGCTGGGCCGCGCACATGCCGCCGGTCATGATTTGCACCCCCCCCTCTTGGACACCCCCCTCTTGGCCGCTCCCGATTTTTGGGGGGCCTCCTGGGCGCCTCTTGGGGCCTCCCGGGAGCTGCTCCGAGAAGCCACGCCCGGGCAGCTGCTTAGTTCTTGCAGCAGCGGCATCGGTCCTCCGCTGCCCGGCTCCTCCTCCTCCTCGTCCCCGCTCCTCCTCCCCCTCCTCCTCCTCCTCCTCCCTCCTCCTCCTCCTCCTCCTCCTCCTCCTCCTCCTCCTCCTCCTCCTCCTCCTCCCCTCCTCCCCCTCCTCCCCTCCTCCTCCTCCTCCTCCTCCTCCTCCTCCTCCTCCTCCTCCTCCTCCTCCTCCTCCCCCTCCTCCTCCCCTCCTCCTCCCCCTCCTCCTCCTCCCACTCCTCCTCCTCCTCCTCCTCTCCTCCTCCTCCTCCTCCTCCTCCTCCCCCTCCTCCTCCTCCTCCTCCTCCTCCTCCCTCCTCTCCTCCTCCTCCTCCTCCTCCTCCTCCTCCTCCTCCTCCTCCTCCTCCTCCTCCCTCCTCCTCCTCCTCCTCCTCCTCCTCCTCCTCCTCCTCCTCCTCCTCCTCCTCCTCCTCCTCCTCCTCCTCCTCCTCCCCCCCCTCCTCCTCCTCCTCCTCCTCCTCCTCCTTCTCTGCTGCCCCGTTGTGTCAACAGGGGTGGCGGGGAAGCGCCGGGGGGCCGGGGCAGCGCGGGGACTGCCCGCCGGGGCCCTCCGCGGACCACGGCGGCGGACGGCCTCTAAGGGGCCCTGCCGGGAGGAGCGCGCCCCGGAGCTGGTCCGGTGCCGCACGTCCCCCCCCCCCCCCAGCATTTACCAGCCTCGAACGTATCCCTATCCCTAAGATTGACACGCCAAAAGGCGACGACAATCTTAGGGATTCGCCCTCAACAAATATGGGAATCCCTAAGATTGGCATCGTGATGAGGAAGGAGATGCCCAGCATAGGCTCTGCAGCATAGGGATAGGGATATGTTCCTGGCTGGTAAAGCATGGCATGATCCTCGGTGCGTGCATGTGGACGCCTACCACTTCGAAGAGGAAAGGACGCCAGAAGGATCAACTTTTGGCGCTCCGCGCGGATCTCTTGGATCCGGGCTGGGCTCCCCTGGCGGCGCCTCCGGCGCCGCCCCTGGCGCGCGGAACGCGCCAGGGAGGGGGGTCCAGCGCAGAGCCAAGAAATCCGCGCGGAGCGCCACAAGTTGTTGTTTATGCAGTTGTTTCTTATTCTAGAGAAGGCCACGGCGCCCGATACATTCTCCAGAGCCGCCGGATCTCCGAAATTCTCGGTTGCGGATCCTCACCCGGCTTTGTCTTCGTCTTGGCTTCGTCTTGTTTATGGTTTTTTGTTTTCCCCCTGGTTCTGCGAATCACCGCCGCCCCTTGCTTTTTTGGGAGCGCCTGTGTGGCCGACCGTGGTGGCCAGAGCTCGGCCGGGCTATCGGATCACGCGTTTTCTCCCCCCAGCGGTTTTGGAACCCCCTCGGGGAACACGAGGGGCAGAAAGCAACATAAGTGGAGGGAGGAGTACGGAGGAGGAGGAAGAGGAGGAGGAGGAGGAGGACGAGTACGGAGGAGGAGGAGTAGGAGGACGAGGACGAGGAGGACGAGGAGGAGAAGAAGGGAGCGACCTCTCGGGAGCCTCTTGAGGCAGTCTGTGAGCCTCCTTGGGGACTCTTGGAGGCCTCTTGGAGGCTTGCTTGTGCGGCCGGCGTCTTCTAAGAGGCAACTGCCTTCTAATGAAGCCTTCCCCCCGCCCTCTACGCCCTTGTTCGCGCCGCCAGTGTACGCCTTCGGATTCCCTTCGGGGATCATGGGCCAACGTTGGACCGATGAAGAGCAGATTGGCACGGCCCCTGCGCAAGGATGGCGCGCACGAAGCTCGCCCTCCTCGTGTGCGCCCGCGTGCTGACGCGGGCCTCCCGGCTCGCTCCGAGACGGGCTGGACTTGGCCCCGCGGGCCCGCCCCGGGGTGCGCTGGAGCTGCCAGCAGCAGCTCGTCGTGGCCGCAGCACTCCGCCCAGCAGAGGTGGGCCTCCACAGGCCAGCCACACCTGGGGGAGCTGTGGTCCCTACCCTGCCCCCCTGGGGGACCCCTCGATTTCGACGCCCCCCTCGAGAGATCGTCGATGCGATGGGTTCCCCCCCCAGGGGGGTAGGGACCACAGCTCCCCCAGTTGTGGCTGGTCGGCTCCACGGGAGGCAGCAGCGGCCCGGGCCTCGCCTCCCCTGGGGGGGGCGGGCGGCGGCGCGAGTCCGCGAGGGGCCCTTCCCGCTCGCGCGCAGCGCGAGACGCGCGCACGGCCGGCCCCCTGCTTCTCCGAGGTACACCCACGAGGACTTCGAGGGGCGAGCCTTCCCCGCACTCTCGTACAAGACCGGCAGCATGGAGGCGCGCCGCGCTCTGGGGCCTCGCTGCTCGTCCTCGTTTCCGTTGTCCGCGCTGGCGAGGCGGAGGTGGGGGAGGGAGACTCAGAAGCAGGGTTCGATTCCATTCGATTTCGATGGCTTCCGATTCCGATGCGGTTCGACCCCGGAGTTCGATTTCGATTCCGATTTCGCGATGGCAATGGAGGCCTCCTGGCAGGCCGATTCCCGCCGATTCGGCTTCTCCCGACTCGGCTGCCGATTCCCGCCGATCCGATTAGGTTCGATCGCCGACCCGACCAGTCGGTTCGACTCTGGGCTCTCCTCCTGCAGGAGCGGCAGACGACGGCGTCGGCGTCGTTGGCCCGGCGGTCCTCGCTGCGGACGCTTCCCCACGCTCCGGATCGGGGGTGGACGGAACCCCCAGCAGTGACACGTCGATTGGTGAAATGTTCGTGTCCGGTTCTCGAGAGGGCGCCGTGGCCGTTATTTTCCAGGCCTGCGCCCGCCAGGTTTGGGCCTCAGGTCGTTTTCACTAAACTCAGGAGGGGAAAAAACACACAGACACAATGAATCGTCGATTCCCAGGAAAATATGGCAAAATATGGGAAGTGGGGGGGGAGACAGAAACCCAGAAAACATGGGAAAACATGGGGGATCCTTTGATTTGTGTGTATTTATGTGTGTGTGTGTGTGTGTGTGTGTGTGTGTGTGTGTGTGTGTGTGTGTGTGTGTGTGTGTGTGTGTGTGTGTGTGTGTGTGTGTGTGTGTGTGTGTGTGTGTGTGTGTGTGTGTGTGTGTGTGTGTGTGTGTGTGTGTGTGTGTGTGTGTGTGTGTGTGTGTGTGTGTGTGTGTGTGTGTGTGTGTGTGTGTGTGTGTGTGTGTGTGTGTGTGTGTGTGTGTGTGTGTGTGTGTGTGTGTGTGTGTGTGTTCCAGGGCCCCTTCACTAAACCACGTTTTACTACAGGGAGGTCTGTCCCTCCCCGACCGGAGGTGCTCGTCGCGGCTGCCCCGCGCCGGAGGGGCCCTCCGCGTCGGAGGGGGGCCTCTCGTGGCGGCCTGTCCGGGGCTCGGCGTGCGGCCGCCGCGCAGGGTGCAGGGAGGTGGCCTGTTGCTGCAGGGTGGAGGCTCTGCGGGGCCCTCCTCCTCCCCGTCCTCCTCCCCCTCCTGCTCCTCCTCCTCCTCCTCCTGCTCCTCCTCCTCCTCCTCCTCCTCCTCCTCCTCCTCCTCCTCCTCTTTCTCCTCCTCCTCCCTCCTCCTCCTCCTCCCTCCTCAAAGCCCATGCGCGGCACAGGGATGAACAGAAAATATGGAGGGGACTAGGGACGCACCCAGGAGAAGAAGGAAGGCCGAGAGGAGGGAGGAAAGAGGGGGGACAGGAAGATAGGTGCGTCCGAAATCCCTGGCGTGGGCGAGCCTCCTCTGCCCTGGCGGTGCCTGCTGCCCGCGCAACCAGGCAGCCAGGCCACACGGGCGGTGGGCGAGACGCGTGCCTCCACGGCACGTCGTCGCCGTCCGTCGTCGTAGCCGCCCCCCTCGTCCTCCCCCCCTCCCGAGAATTCTTCAAGCTATGACGGTGAAGCCTGCTCAACATTCAGATGGGGGAGGGGGAGAGGAGGTGCAGAGACCCTCAGCAGCTAACATCTTCGCTGTTTAGGGGGTCTGAGGCCTGTACGGCCCTGCCTTGCAGACCTCGCTTGGCGTCCTCCTTGGGGACGCCAGGCTGGACGGCAGGGCAGGGCGGCTTGCCGCAGGCTCTCCTGGTGAGGCTCGTGGCGAAAAGGTGCGCTAGCTCATTCTTGGACGCATCACTCACCCGCAAGGCCTGGAGGCGGGCTTTGACCGCGAGCGAGAACGGATCCTCGGTGGTCGGGATGGCGGTCCTGAGGTTGAGCTGTTCGCCGTCGGCTGCACCAGCGGACTCCTCCTGAGCACCCTCCAGCACCACCCCCGTCTGCGGGGCAGCTCCTGGAGGCGGCTGCGGTTTCAAGTCCAAGGCCGAAGCGGCGTTGTAGTTGAAGCTTCCAACCTCCGAGGCCTCCTCAGTGGAGAGGCCGTCGTACTGGTCAGATGCCTGCTCGTCTTTGGCTGCGCCAGCAGATTCTGAGGCCCCGCCTGCCATGACCTCGCCACCAATGGTCATCGTGCTCTGGTTGACCTTCGGGGCGAGGAGGCTGAGAATGTCTGCTCGCAGCGTAAGAAGAATGTCCTTGATGTCTTCCAGCACTTTAGGATTCGGGGCGACATCCTCCTCCGAGCCGATGTCGAAAAACTCGGGTTGGGCACCCGTCGATGTCGACTTGCTGGAGGCCTTGCTCCGACCGATCTGCTGGGACTCGATACTTTCCGTAGCCTGGTGTTTAAGCTCCCGCTTGAACAGCTCGCTCTCTTCGTCGAGGGCAACGTCCTCAGAGGAGGCCGACTCCATGGAGATGCCACCACCGCTGCCCTCCATGAGCGGCTTGCGAAGAGCCTGCAGCACCTTCTGCGGCAAACTTGCGGCTGGGGGATGGGCCACCGCGCGCCGCCCCTGCCGCCCGAGCACGAAGTCCTTCGCGAGGTCATTCTGTCCCCGTTGCACCAAGCCTCGCCGAACGTCCTCCGTCTGGACCTTCCTGTCGAGGCCGAGGCAACCCTGCGCCTCGTCCAGCACGGACTGGAACTCCTTGAGCTGCTGCATCTCTCCCTGCCCGCCGAGCTTGGCCATGAGCTCTGCCGCCTCCTGGACGGACCGCACGTGGGCCACGCCCGAACCATGCCGGACAGGGATGCCACCACCGCGCACCATGCCGGGCCCGGTGGGTGAAGCCGCGCACCTGGAGGGTCGCAGCGCCGTATGAAGACAAGTGCAGTAAGTGAACTGAAAGAGTCTTGAGCCCAAATGGCTACGGATCTGCAGGGTCGAGGCTCTGCGGGGCCCTCCTCCTCCTCCTCCTCCTCCTCCTCCTCCTCCCCGTCCTCCTCCCCCTCCTCCTGCTCCTCCTCCTCCTCCTCCTCCTTTTTCTCCTCCTCCTCCTCCTCCTCCTCCTCCTCCTCCTCCTCCTCCTCCTCCTCCTCTTTCTCCTCCTCCCTCCTCCTCCTCCTCCTCCTCCTCCTCCTCCTCCTCCTCCTCCTCCTCCTCCTCCCTCCTCCTCCTCCTCCTCCTCCTCCTCCTCCTCCTCCTCCTGCTCCTCCTCCTCCCTCCTCCTTCTCCTCCTCCTCCTCCTCCTCCTCATCATCATCTCAGGGGTAAGACAGCTCAGGCTCAGGCTTCCTTGTTGCAGTCCCTTGGGCTGCATCCGGGGGGAGCGCAAGACTGGAGTACACCAGAACTCGGATTTGACGACGCTTTCTGAAGAGCGCGTCCTGTATTTGGGCGGCCCAGGTTTCGTGGGATGTTTGCAGCGGGAGCCCGCGTCAGATTTCAACTTGGATCTCGCGTCATTTTCCTGACGGCCCCGCCAGGCCAACCCGAATCCCTCGAGCCCGAGTCTTACTCCGAGGTTCTTAATTTGCGTCGGGGGGGCGTCACCCCCGCCGACAGCCCCACATCGACCCCCGTCGCGAGCAGCCACCGCGCGCCGAAGGCGCTCTGACCCCCGTCGCGGCGCGACGACGAGGCGAGGCTGACCCCCGTCGGGGGGGGGGCCCCCCCCGCGCTTATCAAGAAACCCAGAGGACGTCTTCCCCGATCCACGAGCTCGAATCAACTCGGATCGTCGCAGGCCTAGAGGTTGACACCAACACCAAGATCGGCGGTGTGCCTCCACCGAGGGAAGACGATCCCGATCTCGGCGATGGTGGTAATATATTCTGGCTTCCAGGGTGACCGAAAGATTGCCACCAGCGCCGACATCTGGGGGAGCGTCTTCCCCTCGTGGAGGCAAACCCCTGTGCTGGTGCTGGTGCCGATTTCCGAGTGCGTGTGAACTAGAGGTCTTTTTTAAATTGGGTCGGTGGCCGGTGACCCGGTGACCCGGTGACCCGGTGACCCGGTGACCCCGGTCACCGTGACCCGGGTCACCGGCCACCGACCCAATTTTTTTATATATATATATATATATATATATATATATATAAAAAACCTCTAGTTCACACGCACTCCGATTTCCAGGCCTCCCAGGATCCCCTCTCTCTCCCTGCCGTTTCGGCCGCGCCCGCGCCGAGCGGCGGACGCCGGGCGGCGCGCCGCGCGCGGCGCGCCGCCGAGGGGCAGAGGTGCCTCTGCGCGAGGCCTCTGCGCGGGGCGCCTCCTGGGCCACGGCGCGGGCCGGCCGCGCGCGGCAGGCGGCCCCGCGGGCGCAGCTCTCGCCGGGGGGGGGAAGCGTCAAGTCGGGGGTGGGCAGACCTCCTACGTCGGGGGTTGGAGCTGACGTGACGATCTCGTGGGCGACGACGACCCGCGCAAGATGACGAGACCAGGATACGTCGTCCACACGCCGACGGGGTCGGGGGATCTGTTGTTCGTCGTTCCTCATGCGTTATTCCTTGGAGAAAAGGGGCTTCGTGTCTTATTTATCTCGGAGGTTGACAGACTTCCTACCCTGACACGTCGATTAATGGATTGGCCGTTTTCGGTTCGCGAGAGGGCGCCGCGGCCGGCATTTCTGCGGGTCCAGCTCCGCGGGTGTCGGTCCCAGGCCGTTTTCATTAGAGGGAGGTTTACGAAAGGGAGGTTTTTCCACCGCCGAGTCAAGTCGGGCATGTCCCTCTGCAGGGGGAATGTTCAAAATCGTTAGGAAGTAGTCTGGGAACGACGTTTGGATTCAATTTCTAACTATTGTGGAATCTGCTTCGGCTATTTTCATTTCTCCGTCCAAGATCCGCCTGTAGGAGGACATACCCGACCTGAGGGAAGTGTTCGGAGGCCTAGAGGTGGACGCCAACACCAATATCGGCGGTGTGCCTCCACCGAGGGAAGAGTGTCCCGATCTCGGTGATGGTGGTCATATTCTGGCATCCTGGGCGGACGGACTATTTCCGCCAACACCGAGATCTGGGATCATCTTCCCCCGGTGGAGGTAAACCCCTGTGTTGGTGTGAATGCCCATCTCCAAGCCTCCAAAGCGGGTCCTGAGGGAAGCGGATCCTGAGGTTTTGCTCTGTTTTCGGACGTTCGCCGCCTTCCACGGGCCCCAGGAGTGCCAGAAAGGGGCTCAGGATGAAGATCTCGTCCTGGGGGAAGGCCCAGGGGTCAAACTCGGTTACCTCAGGACCCGCTTCCCCCAAGCTGAGCCTCGTTCTTTGTGATTGCCGGTTCTCCTGAACAACACGTGTGGTGTTTCTTCTCAGCAGGCTATGAAGGGGGGCAGAATTTGTCCGCCCCCAGTCTTCGAGTATTTTGTGAAGGGTTGCTGGCAAGCCAGTTGCGTACACGATTTAGCGCAGGCGGGATTGGCCAAATTGCAGCGTTTCCCCACGCTAGCAGCTATGCACCTCAGATGCCCAAAAGGGGGCCGTGCTAGCAGCACGCACCCTTGCTTTGTGCACGCGTTGAGTCCAGGACACGAGGGCATCGGGTCGTCATCGACGCAGGCCTGGTGCTCTCCGTGCTGCACTGGGGGCTGGTGACTTACGCCGACGGGTGCACGGCAGGTTCCGTGTCGTGCCGACCAGCGGCGACCCCAACGCGGGCGTTCAAGGCTGAACGCCGCCAGCGACCCAGAATCGGTCGACCTTGCACGATCGGACGTTTGGTAATGGAGGATGACGATTAATAAATGACCGGGGGTCGTGTTCACGCGGCGGCGCCTGGGATGACGATTAGAAAAAACCGGCCGCGGGCTGGAAAACTATTTTTTTAATGGTTCTCCTCCAGTCAGAAAATTATGCAGAAATAGCAGAAAACTTTGTTTTAATCGTTCTCTCTCATTTTTTTAATAATCGCCATCCCGCATTAAATTGGCGATCGTTCAAGGTTGAACGATCCCCGCGGTGTCAAAAAAAGCAACGCCGAAGTCGTCACGGCACGAACCTACCGCACGTGGGTGGACCGAACATCCCAGGAGGAGGAGGAGGAGGAGGAGGAGGAGGAGGAGGAGGAGGAGGAGGAGGGCGAGGAGGAGGAGGAGGAGGAGGAGGAGGAGGAGGAAGGTGTGGTGCTCACCGACATGCTCGAGCCGTCGGGCCAGACGATCCTGACGGAATGAGTTATCCTTGCAGCTGGCATCGGGCTTCGCGCAGTCGGGAGCCAGCCTCCAGGAATGCCGGGACGGTAGGTCCCTGCTCGAGCTGGCGGAGAGCCCCGTCAGTCGGGATCCGAGGGCTAGGGGCTTGCGCAACTACCTGGTTCGCGTCGTAGAGTGCGGATTGCCGCTTGCCCTGGTGTCCCCCCGTTGATCTTCTTCATCATCATCATTATCATCATCATCATCACCATCATCATCATCATCATCATCATCATCACCATCACCATCACCATCACCATCACCATCACCATCATCATCATCATCAGCATCAGCATCATCATCATCATCATCATCATCATCATCATCATCATCATCATCATCATCATCATAGTCATCATCGCTATCACCGTCATCATCCTGCCATTATCTTGCCGGCTTGATTTGTTCGTCGTGGCTTGTTGTGATTGCATGCGCCAGTTTGGCCCGGTGACGCTGTCGTTGGCCCGCTGCACATCACCATCGTGTCGTCGTCAGGGAGTGGGGGAGCAGGGTGTGAGTAGTCAGTTCTAGCCCTCCTAGATGGGGTCCGAGTAGACTCTGTCGGAGGACCGCGCCGCATCGCCGATGCATCTCCGATGCGGCTCGATGCGGAGCCCGATCTGCTTCACGCCGACGTCGCCGATGCATCGCCGACGTCGATGCATCGCCGATTTATCGCCGATGTATCGTCGATGCGGCGCGATCCTCCGACCTAATCTACTCGCACCCCATCTAGGAGGCCTCTATGAGTGGAGATGCTTACGAGTCAGGGTGAGCAGTGAGCACTGGCGGCGGGCCAAGCAGAGGTCTGCGCCAAGACGGACTTCACGTGCGCCAGCGACGACAACGGCCACGGCACCCACTGCGCGGCGCTGGTGGCCGGCAAGAAGTACCCAGCTGGCCGCTCTTGGCCCGTCGCTCCACAGCAACCGAGATGGGAGAGGGGCACGCGTTATACATATATATATATATATATATATATATATTTACACATACACATATATATACATTTCTATATTCATATTTATATATATGTGTATATATATATATATATATGTGTGTACCTATATGTTATATGCATATTATCTCGGGCGGCAGGAATCGAAGGAAAGCCAATCGAAACATGCGCAAGAGCATCGCGGTGGCGATCGTTTTCTCAGTATTTGTTTTGCCGATCGGCGCGGGCCGTCGCCCCCCCCTCCCCTCCACCCCCCATGGACTAGATCTTGGTCGTTTTTGGCGCCTGTTTCCAGCAGGTGGAGTCTCCCCCATTCGAGCAGTGGCGAAGCGTCCTGGCCCACCAAAGGATGTTCTGAGAACCCTCTGTGGTCTGCACGGAATGTTCTTGGAACATCTCTGGCCGAGACTGTCTTGTGTGAACGTTCTCAGAACATTCTGGGCTTCTAAGAGCATCTGTGGCAGGCCTATACGCATGCCGGGACGGTCGGTCCCTGCTCACCCCATAGGACGCGTTGGTGCACACGGTCGCATTCCGCGGCGGTCCAGAACCAGACCCCCGCCCCTCAGGAGGGGAAAAAACACACAAACACAATTAATCCTCGATCCCCCAGAAAATAGAAGAAATTATGGGAAGTGGAGGGGAAGACAGAAACCCAGAAAATATAGGAAACTATGGGGAATAGTTTTATTTGTGTGTATTTATTTGTGTGCCCTTGGGCCCCTTCAGCCCCCGCCCCCCCCCCGTTCCGCCCGATGTCGAGCCGCCGACTGAGATCACGCTCCCGGGCACTCTCCTCTGCCGGCGGCGGAGGCTGACGAGGAAGAGGCAACCGTGAGGGAGCAGGGCGCGCGGCCGCCCGCTCGTGCGGCCGCCTCGGGGAGCAAGCGCTCGAGGTCGGCCTCCTCCTCCTCCTCCTCCTCCTCCTCCTCCTCCTCCTCCTCCTCCTCCTCCTCCTCCTCCTCCTCCTCCTCCTCCTCCTCCTCCTCCTCCTCCTCCTCCCCTCCTCCTCCTCCTCCTCCTCCTCCTCCTCCTCCTCCTCCTCCTCCTCCTCCTCCTCCTCCTCCTCCTGCTCCTCCTCCTGCTCCTGCTCCTGCTCCTCCTCCTCCGCCGTCGTCGGCGCTGACGGAGACCATGTCCCTGTGGGCCGACGCGGCGAGGGAAGCGAAGATCGCGTTCGTTCTGCTCCTCCGCGCCCACGGGCGACAGTGGACCGCCGCACCCCAGCCTGAGCCCCCTCGCCCCCTCCACTGGCGGGGCCGCGAGGGCGGGTCCACGAGGGCGCCGTGGTGCGCTCTGGCGAGGCTCTTGAAGATGGCGAGCTGCTTCCCCGGCCCGCCTCCATCAACTGTCCGCAGTGCCCCGCGACGGAAGGCTTCGCGGCGCTCGGGGCAGGGGCGGCCCGTCCATGCCACCGCCGAAATCCAGCACGTCCTCTTCCGGACGGGTCGCCGAAGAGCGCGCCGCCCCGCTGATCGGCTGGCTCGTCTTCCGCGCCATCGGGGCGAGGCGCCGAAGCGGCCGCGGGGGCGGACAAGGCGCTTGCCGCGACAAGCTGGGAACCTGGAGCGATGCCTACGACAGAGGCCGCGCGTCCAGGGCCATCGCCAAACGTCGAGGCAACGCGGGCCGTCGCAACCGCTGGCACGCTATGGCCTTGCACCAGGCTGCGCACGTAGGCGGTCGACCGCTGCATGTTCCAGGCGCGGTCAGCAGGGGCGGGCGGGCTGCGGGCGACGACGCGTCCTTCCTTCGCCTCGCTGGCGAAGAGGTCGGGGTTCGCGGGGGCGGGCCACGGCGCGAACGCGGCGCCTTCCCCGTGATCGGCGGGCGCCGCGCGCCCACGCACGCCGCGGTCCGAGGCCATGGCGACGCGCGCCGTGGCGAGGATGGCAGCGAAGCCCTCCTCGGACTGCGCCCCCGCCAGCGACGGAGCGATATTGCGCTCGTAACGGCTCAGGCCGTCCTCGTGGAACGTCGCAGCGTCCAGCGCCGCCTCTTCCGCCCCGCGGACGCGAAGGTCGGCAGCGGCTCGCTTGTTGCGCGAACCCTTGCTCGAAAGCGCAGCCGCCCCACCGAGCCCGCGGCGGGGCGTGCACCCCTCTGGGGGGGTCGAGGGAAGCTTTGAGCACGTCGGCTGGCACCTCCTCCTCCTCCTCCTCCTCCTCCCCCTCCTCCTCCTCCTCCTCCTCCTCCTCCTCCTCCTCCTCCTCCTCCTCCTCCTCCTCCTCCTCCTCCTCCTCCTCCTCCTCCTCCTCCTTCCTGCCACCGCCGCCACGATGCGGGGCCTCACTTGACGCTTGCACTCGCGACAGGAGCAGCATCCCCCCCAGGACATTGCTGGTAGCAGGAGTGGGGGCCACGCGTTACCGCCAAGCCTTCTGGGGGAGGCCATCGTCGAAGATCCCAGGCAGGTCTTCCGCCGTCGGCTCGGTTTTGAAGAAGTCCACGTGCTCGACCGTGAAGATGGCGATCTCGGTGTCGGATCCATTCTGCTGGGTGTTCCACGCCGAATGCGTCCGAGCCAACGTCTTCACGAAGAGGAGGAGGAGGAGGAGGAGGAGGAGGAGGAGGAGGGGAAAGAGTAGGAGGAGGAGGAGGCAAGGGAAGAGGATGGAGAGGAGGAGGATCAGGAGCAGAAGGAAGGACAGGAAAAGAAGGAGCAGGAGGAGGACGAGCTGATTGAAGTGCAAGCAACTGGCTTTTTAACCGATTGGCTTTCAATCAATTGGCGTGCGATCGATGAAGCTGCAATCGATTGGATTGCAATCGGTTGGACTGCAATCGTTTGGATTGCAATCGGCTGGTTCGCAGTGGATTTAATGGCAATCGTTTGGGCTGCAATCCATTTGGACTGCAGCGGGTTGGCAAGATGGCTCTGAACATTGAGGAATCTCCAACACCATAAACCTATTATTTTGGCGCTGCGCGCGGGTTTTTTGGATCCGCGCTGGGCCCTCCCCGCGGCGCCTCTGGCGCCCCCTTGTCGCGGGAGGTAGGCCCAGCGCAGCTCCAAAAACTCCGCGCGGAGCGTGAACAGTTTTTGTGTATGTGATTCTTTCAAATGAAGGCCGCGGCACCCGATACGCCCTGCAGAGCCGCTGGATCTCCGAAATTTTCAGCTGCGGATCCTCACCTGGCTTTGTCCTCGTCCTGGTGGCGTCCTGCGAGCGCGAGTCCAGAGGCGGTCAGACCGACCCCCAGCAAGCCATCCCCTGCCGTGACGTCCCCCTCGCCTCGCCTCAAGACGTGCGAGTGCGGCCGGAGGGTACAGTCGGGGCGCTGAAGAAGGAACCCTTCTCGTTGGGGAGGGGCTCGGTGTTCCTTCATTGTTTCACAGCTTGCCTAAGGTTTTCCTTATGTTTTCGATGGGACATCGAAGTGTAACGTATGGAAAAAAAGGGGCCTCGTTCCTTATTTGGGGTTCCTTGGGTCAACGCCCCGACTGTAGCTTGAGAGAGGCGGGCATGACGTCACGAAGGGGGAGGGTTTGCCAGGGGCCGGCGGGGCTGCCCACGATTCGTCTGTGCGTCCTCAGGCGTTCCATCGGAGCGGTGCCCCAAAAAACGGGGCCGTCTGCGCCGACATCGGCGCGGAAGCTGCTCGCGAGAGGTCGCGCGTGAGCGCCCTCGCTTCCACCTGGCATCGCTCGGACGTGTGAATTTTTTTCTCGGCGAGAACCATCGAGGAGCATCCTTGATCATTTGGCGAAACAACCACGCACGAAACCGAAAAAAACACAGGGAAATGGACGTCCGAGCGATGGCGAGTCCATCGTAGCGCAGCGCGCTGGCGGCCCGCGTAAGCCACCGCGCGTGAGGTCGCTGTGCCATCTCGCGCAAGAGCCGCTTTCGATCGTCGCTCGCCTGGGCTCTGGGGGCCCCCGGAGACATGGCGGGGCCGCCCGGGGCCCGCGGCGGCACCAAGAGGCCCCGCGGCGCGGCGGCGGCGGTGGCGCTGGCGGGCGCCGCGAAGGTCGCGCGGGCGGAGGCGGCGCGGGCGGCCCCTGCGCCGCGGGGCCTGCGCGCGGCGCCCGCGGCGGCCGCCGCGGCGGAGGCGGCGCCGCCTGCTCGGATCATTCGCCCACCTGGGGGGGGTCGGAGTACAGTACGGGTTCTGAAGAAGGAACCCTTCTCGTTGGGGAGGGGCTCGGTGTTCCTTGACAGTTTCACAGCTTGCCTCGGGTTTTCCCGGGGTCTTCCATGGGGAGTCGAAGATTCACCTATGGGAAAGGAGGGGCCTCGTTCCTTATTTAGGGTTCCTTAGGTCAAGGCCCCGACTGTAGATGGGGTCGGAGGGTCTTGCCGTGTCGCCGGTGCATCGGCGATGCGGGTCGATGTGGAGCCCGAGCGTCTCCACGCCGACGTCGCCAGTGCCTCACCGACGTTGCCGATGCATCGCCGATGCGTCGCCGATGCGTCGCCGATGCGTCGCCGATGCATCGGCGATGCGGCGCGCTCCTCCGATCACATCTACTCCGACCCAGTCTAGGAGGCCTCTAGATCAGTCGGCGGCGAAGTCCGAACCCTGGTCTCTGTTGGGCCACGCGCAGGGCGTGGTTGGGGGAGGGGGGCAGGCTTCTTAGAGGCACCCCTGCTTTCGGGAGCGAAAGAAGGACGTACATGTACATGAATCCACGCTGGTTTCGAGAGCACGAATTGCACAAATGTTCGTATATCGCGGCTGGTCTCGCGAATCGAGGGGCCGTGTTCATGTACATAGCTGGGCGCGTACGTCCTTTGTGGGCTCCCTATGCTTCTCAGAAGGCGCGGACGCCTGGTCTGTAGATGTGAGTCCGCTTCTGCGCGGACGCTGGCGCCCTGCTAAGGAGCAGCTTCCTTCCAAGAAGCCTTCCCCCCTCCCCCTAATTACCCCCCTTCTGCGCGCGGCCAATTTGCGTCGATGCGTTTGTGTCTCCCTGGGCCCTATTT